AAGACTGGTTACAAAACAAAAGACAGTAGGTGTAACAATCCATTACAAATGAATCAATACGACTGAAATCTATTCGTAACATTCCTGAATGTCAAGGTTGAAACTTCTATTACTTATACGATTCATGGTCAGTATTTGTACGTCTGCTTTCATACAAACACCGAACGAGCCTTGAATAATCATAACTTGTATGAAACCCTTTTCAGGAAATGAAAATTACTTTTCTTGTTCATTTCTGTTAAAGGACAAAATATGTAATTAATTAAAAATATGCAAGAATGGTCAGTTATAGCACAATGAAGGCTTCTAAAGGACAAAATTAGAATCACCATCAGATAGGATACAAAAACATAACTCCTTCCCACGAATTCAGTATGGATTCGTAGGTGTTAAAACCTGTCAAAACACAAGAACATAGGTAATAAATAATTATAACATAATTGATGACGAAATAAGACCTTTGCAACAGATTCTTTACCTCCATGATGGCAAGCAGAACGTAAAGCTCCTTCGCCACCGAACTCATTGTAACAAGTAACTGAGCAAGAAACTATCCGAATACGCGTAGTTTATAAACAAAAACATACGTGTATCACTACTACGTGTATGTATAGTCATGCGTGTGGCCGATACTATCAGAATATAACGAATGGATTCTTCACAGCCTTGTAAATCCATTAAAAGTGTCAATAAAGTTGGGAGTGCTTTGTGATGTGGAATAAAATGTTCATGGTAACTAAGTTATACGTTTACTTATTGAGACATTGAAACACGTGAGAAGATAATAATGTATGTGCCATTTTATGAATAATTTACATTCTCACTTTAATGATAATCGCAAAAATATATAAAAGTTAATAGTGATTATCAATAGGGACTAATCTTTTTTTCTTCGTTTATCAGGTAGATTATCAAAAAGTATTGGACACGTTTTTTTTTCTTTTTTCACATAATATAAACATTGCAGAGATATATTGATTTGAAAAGTCGCATGACGTCACGTTTTGGTACACTTTTAAGTGAAAATTCACTAAAAAGTGTCACGAGCCCCAACTCCCAAACTTTGACGCGCTATAACTTTGTCATTTTTTGGTTGATTGCCCAAAGAAAAAATACGTGTCCATTATTTTTTGATCATCTAACTGACGGACTAAATAGAAAGTCGTTTACTGTACCCCGTCATCACCCCTATTTGTGTAATAGAGATAAAATAATATATTGACTTGCTATTTTTAGGCATGTTAGAATAAATACTGAGGAGAACATAAAAACAATCAAAGCATTACTATCAGCTGGATCTGAAGCATCTATTAGGTATAATGCAGAGAATAGTGGGGAAAATTTAGTTTAACGACAGTTTATAAAAGATTGCATTGAATTTGTAGAGACCTTGTGTGATCATTATGTCAGAATTGTGAATGTTTTGTTCGTAAGTAAGACGAAGAATAATTACCCAGAGTAGGCGAGAACAACTAAGTAAATTAGTTCTCCAAGAAAACATGTTGGGTGCTACCCACGGTAAGTATAACACCAAGATAGTAATGAAAACACGAAAACTTGGAAATGTATTATGATGCGTGTATGTTAAATAAATAGGTTAGTCGTGTTAGAACATTTTAGAATAACGGGAAGATGAAAGTAATTCAGTAATCTGTTTTTGATTTTGTATTTTTGGATTTGCAGTGTCCGTGTCAATAATGATAAAAGCAAAACGCAAAGATTGCTACAAAACGCGACGATGTGTGATGTCTAGGAATTTCAGAATCGCAGTTATAAAGTTAATATGTAGGTATAGGTAGACACTTAAATGTTAGAGTACTATAAAATTCCAATGACGTAAAATCAAACACAGTATAAATATAAGATATATATTTACTGTGTCTCAGACGAAGTTTACTAGAAAAAAGAGAAATTACCCGTTAACGCGGAACAAATTAATCATAAGAAGGAAAAAACTGGCCAAGCGCGAGTCTGGCCTCGCTCTATTAGGGTTTCGTAAAATCCTTTGTTTGAATTGAAGTACATTATGAATGGGTGTTTTCAGTATTTACCGTTTAAATATGTGTCTTAATTAGTTTCGATTTTGAGAAAGACTCCGTAACAAAAATAGTCTGAAAATGACAAGTTTCTTTGTTATTGAAGGAAAAAACTAAATTTTATATATATGTATAAGTATATGTTATGTTATATTGGAGTGACGATTTGCGCAAGGTGGCTGGCAGGAGCTGAATGCGAGTAGCCCAAGATCGATCTGAGTGGCGTGCATTTGGAGAGGCCTATGTCCAGTAGTGGATTATGATGGGCTGTTGATAATGATGATGATGATATGTTACACAACGAGCTCTAGCCAGTGATGTGTCACAAGTTGGGGTAAAAACAAAAAAAAGACATTTCGTATCCTTTTCATGTATAATGAAAAATAATTTTAGTATTTTTTTATTAAATATTCGTCATTGGGCAAGCATTCTACATAAATACCTGAATTACATTTATTCATTTCGTTTTAGATCTAGAGACCCGTGACTGCAATAGGTTTCCGTTTTTACCCTTTTACGCATGAAACCCTAAAATGTGCGACTGAGATCATTCCATAATCTTAGTAAGATCATTTACGCATGAAGATGCTATGGTATGAGATTATGAATGCTGCAATGCTGTTGGATATTATGCGAATTACTGAAGAATATACTGATGCAGCAACGAAAATTCTCAGAGATGCGGCAACTCACCGTCACTGTTACAAGTGGGGTTACCAACATTCTTTCTATCAAATATAGTAATTTAATTTCAAAGCGTTACTTAAAGGCGTAAAGGCAAAAAACGGAAAAGAAATATAGCATGTGGTTAAAATACTTACTTTATTTTTGAAATAAATATATTTTTGCTGCTCTTTGCCTTACTAATAATACACACATCAAAAGTGTCTAGGGATCAACATATATTTTTGCAATAACTTTTCTCCTGATTGATATTAATTAAAATTTTCTTTAAGGATTCATCAAATAAAGTGTTTTCGTTTGTCACAGTAACGATAAACCAAGTCACCTTTGCATTAATAAAGAAATTTGCCATTTTCCTAATAAAGGGATTTTTGACATTTGAACCACTAACACAAAAGTTCGAAAAAAAGACTGAAATAACAGTTTTCTCTAAAATTTTATTGGGTAACTTAAACAATTAATAAACCGTATTTCTACCGCGAACACTAACAACACAAGAACATCGGTTTGGCATACTCAAAATGAGTTCATCCAAATCACGCTGTGGAATGGCCGCCCATGTTCGTTGCAACAACAAAAAAAGGTCTTCTTGCGACTGGATACCCTCCATATTCGGCAGAGCTCTTCTCTGTAGCATATCCCATGCATGCTCAATCGGGTTCAAGTCTGGCGACTGAGCAGGCCAGGGCAGGACATTGATGTTAGCTGCGGCGAGAGTCTGTCTTACAACTCTTGCGGTGTGCGGTCGTGCATTATCATGCATTAACTGAAATAAGGGACCGATTTGCACTTGTAGAGGAACGATGACGTCTGATACAATCGTCTCAGCATAAATTTGAGCGTTGAGGTTGCCTCTGATCCAAATCAACTCAGTTCTTCCGCCGATCCAAATACCCGCCCATACCATGATGGTTCCACCACTATAAGGATGGACTTCCTGGCAGGATTTTAATCGCTGTTGGCGTCCAGGGGTTCTCCAGTGTCGTATACGTCTTGTATCCGGTCTCATACCAAAACGAGACTCATCAGAAAAGCACACGAAACGCCATTGTTCTTCTGCCCAATTTCTGTGTTCAAGAGCCCATTGATATCGAATCCTACGATTGTGCATTGCTATAGGTGGTACCCGTAGCGGTCTTCGGGAATGAAGGTTCACTTCATGCAAGCGGTTTCTGACTGTTTGGTCGCTAATTAAGTTCCCTGAAGAGTGATGAAGCCTCACGGCTAACATCATGGCGGTTATTGTTGGAGCTCTTCGAGTTAAGATTTGAATGTATCGGTCTTGTCTCCGTGTGGTGCAGCGATACCGTCCTCCATGGCGCTCAGCCACGGTACCAGTGCTTCGGTATCGTGTCCAAAGTCGACTGATAACACTCTGACTTGTATTCAGAGCTAAAGCCACAGTACGTTGCCGGGAACCAGCTTCTATCATTCCCACGGCTCTGAGCATTTCTTCCCTGCTTAAATGACGTCGCCGCTCCATAATAACGTTGGTTTTAATCAGTAGTAGGGAAACAGTAGCACTAATAATGTCTTCAATGCGTTGTATGTTTTTATAGGGAAAATATTGACAGCTGATTTTCATCTTTTACTCGAATTTGATTCACAGTTCCTGATTCAAATTATGAAATGCACCAAAAAGGATCCATATAAATTTATAAAATCATAAATTTATTACAAAGCCACATCTCAATCTCAAGAAATCCGCATAAAAATGCTTGATCCCTAGACACTTTTGATGTGTGTATAATAACTTTCTAATTTTTAAGAAAGCTTTTACTGTCAAAAAATTGCTTTAGCAAAATATAGTAGTTTCGCCTACTATATTTTTTTTGAAATATAGTATTTGATCCTCTAATATAGTAGGATACTATATTATGTAGTAGGGTTGGCAACCCAACTAACAAGCCGAATCCACTGACAATAGCATGGGAGATCTGATAGGTAACTTAAAGAGGCCATAATGAAAGCAATGCTTCGAAAATACTTTTAAGCACTATACAAAAGTCATTAAACCTCATTAAAGAAATAAACGGTGAAAGGTTATTTAATAATGCTTTCGCCGGATAATATTCAAAATATAGCCCGCCCCCACGTGTCATATGATGTGTTTGCACTGAATTCTGTACTCATAAAAATGACGGTACAGTAATGATTCAAATGAACACATTTAAACGTATCTAAAGAAATGTTACCAATGCCAATAAAAAGATTCATCCGAGTGCACATTTTGCTAAAAGCGTGTACGAGTCCTTGATATAAAAATAACGATGAACTTACCGTGGGGGATACATTTCTCCGCCTTCGAAACATCGAGGACAAGGAGTGACCTCCAAGATTTCCGGCAGATACCATCATTTTCGTTCAACAAAGAACGCAAACTTGGCTCCTGAAGGAAATGTCCACTACACACTAATTCACACAGCACTGACACTGCCTTTTAGAAACCAATACAAACATTGTGCGGTCTTAACTTTAAAAACTTAATAATTTTATAACAGAAAAAACACAGCACCGCTTAGACGCACCGAAGCTCAACGTGCACTAAACTTGCCTAATGTATAGTGGGAACAATCCACTTTTACTACTATAACTCAAAAGTTTCACTGATACACGAAGTTTGCGCAGACGGTCAAACCTATCACTTTTCTGAGCAAAACACCCGACTTTCACCTCAGCTTGACTCACACTTAGTGCATCCTCAACATAAGATTATTAACATAACATTTAATATCCTCTCAACTGCTTTGTCGACTGAAAGTACAGCATATAAATAGATTCCGGCTTTAGGATAGACATTAGATTTCCTCCATCCTTCCTATACAAAACGCAATCTTTTTTTTTTATTCAATCATCTACAATGATTATTATTAATTATTTTTTGACGACCTCCGTGGCCGAGTGTTTTGTACGCCGGGTTTCATGGTGTCGCCGACTCGAGAGATTCCCTCAGGTTCGAATCCCGGTGGGGGCAGATATTTGTGTATTGATGTTGTGAATACGAGCATTTGTACTCCAGTCATGGATGTTTAATATGTATATTTCTATAAAAATATATTTATATATGTACTGTATATGTATTCGTATCCGTTACCAGGCATCCCATAACACATTTAAAATGAACACCTTAAGGGTGCGTCGCAAGATTGCTGACGTGATTTTTCTTCACAAAATTTTAAATGGTAAAACAAGTTGCTCTAAATTTTTATCTTCCATCAAGCTAAATGTTCCGTACATTTACCCACGTCACGCTATTCAAAAAAAATTCTGTATCCCTCGCCATCGAACAAATTTGGGTTTGCATGAACCTCTAGCTAGAACTTGCTCAGCATATAATGAGATTGGCGCCAAAGATCCAAGCATAGATATATTTGGTGATGGTCTTGTATCCTTTAGGGGAAAGTTGCTGAAACACTTTGGTACAACAAATAAATAAATAGCGAAATAATCTGTTCCTTCTTTTGTATGTATGTATTTGAATAAATTAGCGCGGTCCATCAATCTATCCATAATATAGTCGTTTAAAATACATAGATTTGTGATCAGGTCAATCGGTTGAATTGTATCAAGTTGTTTATTAACATTATTGTGATTGTTGTGTATGCTTGTAATTGGTCTGCATATAAGAAAACTGTATAGTATCCGACCTATTCATTAATGTTTTAATATGTGTGACTGTTAGCATGCCTAAATAAATAAACAAGCCTTACAGTGCTTACTTTGGGGCTAGGCTAATTGGTGTGAGTGTAGGAAATATTTATTATTATAATGATAATACTTATAATGATTAAAACGCTCTTTGTTGTTGTAAATATTAGAAAAACAATTATAGAGACAATCACCTAACAATAAATTACTGAGTTACAAAGATGATAGACAACACATAACCACTTATGTCTTCCGTGTTAACAGTAACCGTTTCTCATTAAAACAAGGATTATAGAACAGGTTTGTTATACATGTTTTTGCTCTAGAGGGAAAAGAAGATTTCAACAATATAACAGCGTCTGAAAATGTTACTTAGGATCTCGTCACTGTCAGGCAGGGTCGACACGACACTAACTTTTTCCCGGGAGAGTAATCTGCGGGGAAAATTTGATCTCAGGCACAGTTTATTTTCCTTCTACTAGAGATTCAGTGTGCTAATCTTTAAATATACAAGATAGTCTGCAGTTTTAAAACTGGCATGACATCACTGCAGTAAAACATGCTAAAACTGTTCTGTTTGCATTGACATTTTTAGAACGTACACACACAAATTAACATCACATCGCAAAAATTATATGTTGCTTGTGTATAATTAAATCACTGATTTCCTACAAAAAGTACACATAGTAAGGAAATATAGGGAATTTAAGTAAACACTATGCGATAACATTCAACAAATCTAAGTTGACTATTCAGTGTTTGAAATATAAAAAAAATATATGTTCATACAGACAAAGTATTTCTCATAATCTATACCAAAACAGTACTTTTGCTATTTCTGAATTTTGAGATCTAAAATGATAATATTTATATTGCGCCGCTCAGGTAGGGTATTGTGTTTAACAGTCTATTATATTGTGGCGGCGACATCTATCTTCCCCACATATATACAACGGATGGAGGAAGTTATTACTCACCATCCTCAAGAGATCGCGTTACCTGCACTGCGAACATAATAGTATGGAAGCCTACATCGCGCAAATGAAATTCGGAGGCTAACTCTTCATATATACAATACCCCCAAGTTACCATCACCCAACTCGTCTTCAGATCTTCCCCTTTGACCTTCCTACAATATAATGTACGTATGTTCCTTTGTTACTTTTGTACACTAGCGACCAAACGCGTCAACCGATTTTGATGATAAATATGTCAATCGATTCGTCTTAATCGTGAGAGTGCTAATAAGGACATGATAGTATACGATATTCAATATGTGGATAAATAGGCGCTATTATATGAGTAAGAAAAAAAAAATAAGTTGACGAGATATGTCGACATGGGTATCATTGTCTAGATTATTGAAAATCATCTTTAGTCAAGAACTTCACGCTTATCACAACATACGGAGCACCCTTATATTTATTCAGTAAACCATTGAGCGGCCTCCACCGATGTTGTTTTAATAAACATCGTATAAATAAATCCAATCATTAATGCAATCTCAGTCTTCCTACCGATTTGCGGTTATCCTGTGTTATGTAAATCCAATGCCCTTCCTTAGTAACGATTTATTGGCGTTCCGTTTTGTTATGCAATCATAAGTGCGTTTTGATAATGGTCTAAATTTTCACGTTTATAAATTGGACGGCACTCGTGCCAGATTTTTGCCAAAAAGTACTCCTACTGTTTTCACTCATAGCTAATGTATTTTAAATTAGAGAACCGAACCGATGTCAACGCAAACGACGGAATGACACGGCACATGCCCAGACCACATCAAAGGTTGTCCACCAACGAATTTGCGATTTACTGTAAGTAGTTGGGGGCTAGTAGATAAAAGCTAACTACGCAGAAATACAACTTCCACTAACTAAACTACATAGAAAAACGAAAAACGGTGGAGCGCACGAAGGTATGATACAAGAAACAAGATGGGCTATACTTAGTCGATATGTATCACACGGTGAATTAAGACGGAGATAATTAAGTGTATATAATTATCGTCAAATTGACGATCGACATTTGTATTGACAGAGAGAGAAAAAAAATTACGTTTATGAAACAGGAGCTCTATTCTCTTTCACCGAAACGAAATTTGGTAACGAACGAAAAAACACGCACATAAAGTTCGGAATCACAAACAATTTTCATGAACGAATGGAATGAGCTATGTTTGTGAGTCCTTTTTATATCCACTTTTTAGATTACCTGTTTCACTTGGAAACAACATTACTTTACGACAAAATTTTTGATGACATTAAAAGAACTTTCTTGGACAGTGTTACCTGATTAATTTGTAGAGTTGATGCAATGCATTGTATGTCAACTAGCACTTTTCATTTCGTCAATTTGAGGTTAAAATTTCGAACAATTATCTGTCAAATTTTCGATTGAAAGTTTTGTGAATTAGAGTTGGCTTGGAGAATGTAAGTGTCTAAATTGTTTCGCACGAACGTATTTTTGAAATGAAAATGAAACAGCAACGTGCGAAATTCGATCGAAATTTCGTGTTTCGTTGAAATTTTAAAGAAGAAAGTTGGATAACGTATCACCATCATGAATATGGATGTGTGTTATAAATTCTTTTGCTATATTAAACCACTGAAAGCACTGAAAATTACAGGCAATTCCTTTCTAACTGAAAGCTGGTTCAGAATTTTACGCGTGTTTATAGATTTTATAATTTTAAAGAAGAAAATTGGGTAACGTGTCACCGTCATGAACATGGATGTGTGTAATAAATTCTTTTGCTATAATTAACCACTGCAAGCACTGAAAAATTACAGGCAATTCCTTTTAACTTAAGAAGAAAGTTGGGTAATGTATCACCATCATGAACATGGGTGTGTGTAATAAATTATTTTGCTATATTAAACCATTGAAAATTACAGGCTATAGTGGTTTTCTTTTTAAAGTGAAAACTTCTTTAGTATCATACTTAGTTAGAGATTCGATGAAACGGAAGTTGCGTATTTGACACAAGATAAGTATCCGTAATTTCATCAGTTACTATAGGAGACTGATGGCCGAACGCAATCGGTCTCTTGAGGTCGTGGCAAGTTTAGTGGTCGGTGGTTCGAAACCAGAGTTCGAATGTTAATTTTACATTTGCTATGTCAATGGGCTCACATTTAACTATAATATCAACTAATAAATTTATTAATATTTCCATTTATGAATTTCTAAGGAGGCTTAATTTTGATAACATCCCATGAAGCTTTGCATTTATTTTTTGAATTCATAATATATTTGAATCTGAAAAAGAAACAATAATAAATATCATTGTTATTTTATATTCCATCTTTTTTCGATATATTGTGTATAATTAATGGGGGTTCATAATAATCTTTTTCTTTCTTTCTAATGTTGTATACAAAATGTTACGAAACCCGTGCGTTAGCCCGACTCGCACTTGGTCGGTTTTTGTAGGTTTCACTTCTATCGCATGTCCACAGCACATGCCCGTTATTTTTGGTACAAAAATTATATGATGGTCGATCTAGAACATCATATAGACACATACATACATTATTAAACCAAAAGTTTATGGTTTTTTTTTAAATAACCGAGTGAAGTAATATAACATTCTCAACATTGACATAGTTATAATAAGTAAGGTAATTTCGACTTGCACACAACTGCATAACCAGTTTGATCTAACTAGCTTGTTTGATGGTTAATGTTTGAGATAAGTAAAAAACAATAATTACAATGCCATCTAGATACACTGTAAAGGTTTTCTAGAAAATCATTACATCAATTTCCATGACCCAAGGGGCTATGGATGGTTGAAGACCTTTTTCATCATCCCTACGGACGGAACAGGAAGAATGGGCTATGCATGACCCACCACAAGAGACGGATTGGTGGATGCTAACGACTGCAGATAGACCGGGACCTTCGTTTGAAGCACGGAGGAGCTCAAGATAATGATGCTCACCCATTCTGCGACAAGAAATCTTCAATTAAGATTGATCGAACCAGGTGGTAGGCAGAAAACTTTATCAATAACTATTAAAGTTATAAGAAAGTGATATTTCGAGCAAATTAAGAAGAGTTGAAGAGGGATGGACTTTAACTTCTGAAACAATTCAACTACATAC